CAGCCAGCCAGCGGGGGGCGGGGTGGGGGGGTCACGTGGGAGGTTTTTATGGGCCAGGCCTGGAACCGGCCGCACATCACTGCCACCTGCATGTCCTTGGCTACAGCTCAGTCACGTGGGCCCACACAGCTGCAGGAACCGCACAGTCCCCGCAGGGAAACGAAACGGGGTTGGACGGAGGGCTAGCCAGGCTCCGCCACCTGGGCCGGCGGCCTTATTTCTCCGGGCTGTCTCCTGCTCTGAAAATAAAGACAACCAACTCCACCCCGTCCCCGCCGGTTGTGAGGAAACCCGCAGCCATCTGTGCAGTAGGGGGCGGCCAGAGGCGGCCCCATTGCCTCCCCGCCTTCGCCCGTCCCCACCTCCGATTCATTCGCCCCCGTTGCTCCCTCCAGGCACCAACTGGATGATCGAGATCCTCAGCTTGATCGTCAAGGACGGGGACCCCTCCTGGATCCGCTCGGTGCCCATCTGGAAGCGGGCGCCCTGGTGTGAGACCATCATGGGCGCCTTCAGCCTCTCGGACCAGTCCAGCCCGCGCCTCATGAGCTCCCACCTCCCCATCCAGCTCTTCACAAAGGCCTTCTTCAACTCCAAGGCCAAGGTGCGGGCGGAGGGAGAGGGGGGGCGGAGAGGGCATAGCTAACCGATGAGGTTGGCACATAGTTAAATGAGCACCTACTACGTCCTGGCCCTGACCTAGAACGGCAGTAAAAAAAATAAATAAATAACTGCGAGTCCGCATTCTAAAGGCAGACAGGCAGGGAACAGATGGGCTGGAAAAGGAAAATCTTGAATAGGTCCAAGATGGAAAAATTCACAGCCGCGGAGCAGAGGGTGAGGGTTAGAGGTAGGGTGGGGGTTGAGGTTATAGGTGATCAAGGGTGTTCGCAGTGAGAATGTCCCTTTTGAGCAAAGACCTGGGAGATGAAGGAAGAAGGCAGGGGGGTGTCTGGGGGAAGAAGGTCCCAGGCAGGGGAAGGGGGGGGCGGGGCGGAACAAAGGCCCTCTGGTGGGTGTGATGTGTCTGAAGACCAGCAAGAAGGCCTGTGTGGCCGGAGCCAGGTGAGCGAGGGGGAGAGGAGTGGAAATGA